CCTCTTTCTTGATGAAAGCGTCCTTTATCTCGTTGAACCTTTATTTTTTCTTCATTTTAATTTCCGTTGCACGTTTATAGGATTTCTTTGACCTTCTTTGTTTTGGCTGTTAATAATTCTGTGTATTATATAGATCTTTATATAATTGTAAAATGCCATGTAACTGATTGCTTTTTTACTGGAGAAATTTACTGAAAGAAAAAGAATGAAAAAAATGACAACTATTACTTAAGTCTCTACAAAAACTTAATCTTATTTGAAAAGAATGAGATTGAAATTGTAACCCGCAGTAAAATTTGGCTTTCAATATATCTTTTAATATATTTTTTCGTTTTTTGTGAGTTAAATTATTATACTGAACATTCACGCACATATACATATATTATCCATTGTTTTCATAGCTAGATATTTTTTATTTGTATAAATCATGCTTGACTGCTTGTAATAATCTGACTTTCTCTTTGGTTTGTTGTAGTCAAGAGTATCGTAATGAAAAATATACAGTCTAAAACCAGAAGATTATGCGAAGCTTTGGAAGATCATAAATCATATTCTGAAAACTTAGCCACCCTAAAAATGAACAAGGAGCAACTTATAAAAGCGTATTATACAGCTTCCTTACCTCATTTGATGAACATAAAGGTTGAGAGTTTATTTTTAAAACAAATTTCTATGTTTACTTAATTATCTAATTATGCATGTTACATTTTATATCTACATGTAATTATATTTATTAAAAAGATTTGGAAGCAAAGTATATTATACATGAATGTAACTTTTGTTTCACTCTGCACAGAATATCGTGAACAAATTCATTGCTGTACCCAACAATGTTTTGGCGGATGAGGATAAACTTCAAAGTATACAGTATACAAAAGCAGAATTTGTAAATATGCGTAAGAAACTGGAGGAATTCCAACAAAGAGCAAAACGAGTATGTATCATGATTATATGTTTATCTGAAAATAGTGTAACTGTTACTGTTGTCATTTATGTAACAAATATATGTAGATGTCAAAATATTTATATGCATTATATAACCCGAATTTTTTCTTTTTCTAGGCAACTGTATTGAATGCAGCATTGAAGGAGGAATTACAGCTCACAGAACAATGTTTGATACATGTGGATAATAACGACAGGCTGACTCAAATCATTGAAAATGGCGTTGCCGAAATCAAAATGGCGCACCCGAATATCAGGAACAAAATGGACAAATTGATCAAGGATTATAAACAAATTAGCTCGTGCTTCAACGATGGAGCTTTTATATCGCAAAAATCGCTCTACAATACGGTTGATGATTTGAAATGTATAGATTATGACATGGATACCTTATGATTATAAAGAAGGAAGAATTATTTTTATGACTTATCTTTGGATCCTATATTGCTGACGTTACTGTCTTTTTTCCTGGATATATATAAATATATAAATAAATGCATTCTGTGAATGTTATATCGTGTATATATTGTATACAATTTATAATCTGTTAAATTAGTAATATACATATATTTATATATCTTTAATATAAAAAAATGTTATGATTTATTTTTCCTGATATCTTCAAATGCATTATAATATAATATTCGACGCGATAATTCTCCTTCTATGTCCCTTTATCAATATATATATAATAAATTTTAGTAAGTTATTTTAACCGATGTAAATTGTGAGTATATTCAAAAAAGCTTACATTTCTTTAAACGCATTATTATGACAAAATACCATCGTGTTCTATGATTGATGTAATGTATTTAATCAGGCAAGAATATACATATTATTCTCAGTAATTGTGGTTGCTGTGTTTTCCCTCGCTAGGAAACACTCACTATATATGTTCTATATCTTTCCTTTCTCTTCACTTTTTGTTTAAACGTATATACAGAAGCAAGATAAGATTATAAGATTTTGCACATTAGTCTTTTCAACAATTCTGTATTCTATTAATATATTTTCCTATATAAAAAAATAATTGGCATTAATATTAACTACTAACGGTACGTTCGGAAACAGCACCCGAGCATCGTTCTATCTTTGTTCAACTTTTAGTAAATAACAAAGATATATAAATAAATGCATTCTGTGAATGTTATATCGTGTATATATTGTATACAATTTATAATCTGTTAAATTAGTAATATACATATATTTATATATCTTTAATATAAAAAAATGTTATGATTTATTTTTCCTGATATCTTCAAATGCATTATAATATAATATTCGACGCGATAATTCTCCTTCTATGTCCCTTTATCAATATATATATAATAAATTTTAGTAAGTTATTTTAACCGATGTAAATTGTGAGTATATTCAAAAAAGCTTACATTTCTTTAAACGCATTATTATGACAAAATACCATCGTGTTCTATGATTGATGTAATGTATTTAATCAGGCAAGAATATACATATTATTCTCAGTAATTGTGGTTGCTGTGTTTTCCCTCGCTAGGAAACACTCACTATATATGTTCTATATCTTTCCTTTCTCTTCACTTTTTGTTTAAACGTATATACAGAAGCAAGATAAGATTATAAGATTTTGCACATTAGTCTTTTCAACAATTCTGTATTCTATTAATATATTTTCCTATATAAAAAAATAATTGGCATTAATATTAACTACTAACGGTACGTTCGGAAACAGCACCCGAGCATCGTTCTATCTTTGTTCAACTTTTAGTAAATAACAAAGATAGAACGACGCTCGTGTGCACACGGGTGATGTTTCCGAACGCAGCCTAACAGTAGTAGTAAACTCGCTTGCTTTTCGCGATCTAATTTTGAAAACTTATCAGAAGTTAATTGGAATGAGATGTTTTGCATAAATTTCGATATAATGTTACAAACATATATATATATGTATAAGGGTATAAATTATACCATGCAATATTTTTATATGCACACATGTAGTTAAACGTAAAAATGAAAAAATTAAAGCGATATCAAAAGTATAAAAAAATAATTTAACGTATCTATTTTTTTAACATATCAATTTTTTTTTATTACGATAAATATTAAAGAGGTGGTGCACTTGAAAATGACTTCAATATCAAAGTTTTTTTCTTTAAAAGATTAGATAATTTTATTTAAATATTTTTATTATATATAAATAATATAAAATAATGTTTGGATGCCTAAGTATCTAAAAAAAATGTTGAACCTTAGAGTAGTGTCAAAACCTGTGAAACACTTTCCTATAAAATCGTGTTTTATCTTTTATCTTTTTTTGGAAAACACTAGTCCGATTATCATTTTTGTTATTATTTTTTAAATTTGTTCAGGAATAAATAAATTATGATTTGATCGCACAATTTCATAAAATTGTAATTTCATTATCAAAGATTATAAATAATAATTAAAGTCACCAAAAACATCGATTTTATTCACAAGCCATAATTGAAATTCAGAAAAAGCTTAACAACAAAATGCATTGCTCAAAACGTAGCCAAATATATAAGAAAGAAAGTAAAAAAAAAAATTATTTGGATATGTTAACCCGGTGTTGAGAAAAAAAATATGAAGTAGTTTTTTGCAATTGTATCCGTGCTCATTTAATAATGATCATATCAATATGCCTCGTCAAAATAAACACATAAAATGCAGCTAAAACATTCGATGAAACGAGAATTCGAAATGTCGAGCAGTTTAAGTTTCGAAGAAATTTTGAACGAGATACTGCGTCTCGAACATTACGGATTTAATTCCCAGAAACGTAGCGAAACCGCACACGGAAGCTCGCTTGTGTGCGTATCGCACCTTTTCCTGGAAAAGATCCGAGCCTCAAAAATCGTATCCAATCCTTTGCTTCCACTCCCATCCCCTCTTCGTCTTATTCGTCGTCCCCTTCTATCGACGGATCATCCCGGAGGCCAGTCCACTACGCGTCGTTTACGCGATTGTATATCGATGATGATTGACGACGCCAAGGATCTCTCCGGCGAATGCCAACGCACTGTGCGACTCCTGGAGCTGCTGCAACGCACGCACTACGAGCTTGTGCAGGTAGAGTGATTAGCAAGCCCGCCGATTTCCAAAGACACGTCCTTTTATCCATGTCATTGTTTTCAACAATGATCTTTCTTCGTTTATCCGTTCGCGAGTTTTTTTCGCGGTATATTCCGCGAGGGAGATTCTTTTCGGGATGAGTTATATTTATTTTTCGCTAAAACGATAAAAAATAGTCATAAATATCAATGATTTTATATATAAAAGAACAAAAATGAGGAAAAAAGATATAATATTGCAAAAAATATATAATAGCACCCATGTGTGCATCTCCTCCTCTGTAATTCATTTTAATACGATACATTGGGATATTTTAATATAATATTTGCATCCGCACACATTAATTTATATATCAAATATAATTAATTTTATCTGTATCTCTCCAATAAAGAGTTAATTAAAAGCACACAAATTAAGGAATATATTTATATATATAAATATCGCATTTGTATCAATTATAATATTTATAACATTTCATCTCTCTTTTAAAATTTTTTCCTCCTGCGGTTGCATGAAAGAGAAAAAAATATTAATTATGCTTGCATATGTATATAGGTGAATGGGCAGCGACGTCTGATGGCTCCGGAAGTGGCGGGTGGTGAACGACAGCGCGGCAAAGGCGCCGAGGTGTTCCTAGGACGATTGCCGCGCGACTGCTACGAGGACGAGCTGATGCCGGTGCTGGAACAGATCGGCCGTCTCCTGGAATTGCGGCTGATGCTGGATTTCTCCGGGTCGACGCGCGGTTACGCGTTCGCGATGTACGAGACTCCGCGAATCGCTCGCGAGGCGTGCGCGCATCTCGACGGCTATGAGATCCGTCCCGGTCACCGTATCGGCGTGGTCAAGTCCATGGACAACTGCCGGCTCTTCTTCGGCGGCGTGCCCAAAAACAAGACCAAGCCGGAGTTCATGGCGGAGCTGACCAAGATGCTGGACGACATCACGGATATCTACTTGTACCCGAGCGCCCACGATCGCAGCCTCAATCGCGGCTTCATCTTCGTCGAGTTCAAAGATCATCGAGCGGCCGCGATGGCACGCCGCAAGCTAATACCCGGTAAAGTGACGCTATGGGATCACGAGATCGCCGTGGACTGGGCGGATCCGGAGCCGGGCGAGCCGATCGACGAGGACATCATGGAAAGGGTGAATTTCGAATTTTCCTCCTTAAAGGAATTTATATTTGCAATTGCTATTTTATTTCTTCGCTTCGAAAAATCATTTTTATATTTGTCTTCTATCTTTGTTATAATGTTTTTTGATAATTTTTGATAATTAATTCTGCAAATTTTTCTCCCATTATTTGCAACTTGTATTTTATTAATTATACGAGCACGTGATATTTGAGTAATAATCAATAAAAATAAAAGGAAATAAAAATATATAATATATTTTATCGGATATTTATATATCTATTGAAATGGAGATTTAACAAAAATTGAAACACGTTATTCTATAATTATAAAAATATACATTGAATCAGAAAGAATCGAAAAATAAAACGGCTTCTGCACTTCATATTTGACGGTTTGATAATAACTTTTTTATTGAAGTGCTCCAATAATTTAAAATTGAACACATTTGCTTATTGTTAGTATAGATATCTTTTTTCATCTCTTTAGTACATAATATTATATAGTGCACTTACTAAATATTCGTATATTTGTCGTGCTTCTTGCGTTGATTAAACTAGTAAATTTTTAATTAAATATCTTCATTTGCATAATTATAAAAAAAATTCTCTGTTTCTCTTTAATCCGAAGAAATATATACTGCGAGAAAAAATGCTATAATAAAATAAACAAATTCTATAAAGAGCATATTCATGTAAAGAATATCTCGTCGCAGCAAAATCATATCATATCACTGTGTATGACATAGACAGGACATGTCGCACTAATTCAATATCGTACGCGATGATAAATAGGTAACGACTCTGTTCGTAAGAAACCTCACGCTCGATATATCGCAGCAAAATGTGAGAGGAATTTTTCACAGGCACACGAATGTGCCAATATTGAAACTGAAGAAGATCAATCACTTCGCTTTCATTCATTACGAGAATCGTCAAGCTGCGCAGATCGTAATGGACATAATGCAGAGTGAGTATGCGAATGATGTATGTATATAACCAGAGAGCCAAGATAAAATCAAATATAAAAGTAAGGAGAATATAAAGTAACTATAAGATTTCAGCGAGCATTCCAATAGATTCCAAAGCAAAGAGATAGCAAACGGCAGATAATTAGTTAACTGTACCAAATTAGTTAGTTGTATGTATGCGTCTAAAGATTAAAGTATGTATCATCAAATTAATATTAGATATAATCTCACTTTCGGTCAAATGAACATTGCTTCGAGAATTTTATTTTATTTCAATTGTAACGAATTTGCATTATTCTATTTTAGAACCGGATAGTATCGTCGAAAAGCAGGGCTGGGAGATTTCTTGGGCGAAGCCGATCGGAGCGAAGAATTTCGATAGGCAACAACACATTCGCGAAGCGATAACTAATTCGCAATCCATATCCAACCTTCAAACGACCGAAACATTGCGCCCGAAACAGGCCTGGAATAAGAAACGTTGCATCAAAACGGAAATAGCGTCCGAGGACGAGAGCGTATACTTGGCGCAGATGAAGGTTCTGCAAAACTTTGTCAAGGAAAGATTCGATGCGACATGCACCTTCGATTGCGTACCAACGCCAGATGCGTCTGGATATATTGGCACGGCAAGTGCCTTAATTAAAAAATTTTAACTTTTCTTATCTGTTTATTTATGTTCAATGATTTATTCTTCTTTCGTCGCAATATTTTAGGTAATTATTCGTAAAGATCAGATAATTTTGTTCGATTTTCAAGGAAAGCCAATGGCCTCGAAGCATAAAGCCCTAAGCGTTGCATGCGTTAAAACATATCAGTATTTTACAAGTACGCTCCCGAATTCTGGTACGTACAATATTTTGGCTTGTGTTAAATTAAAAGTTTTTGATTACTTCGTGCTCTATTGGCGCGTTGAATCAAAGGATTTTGACAAAATATTTCCACGCGAATTTAGCTGTGATCCAACAACGAAAAACACGCGTAACATTCATAAAATTTGAGCTTTTAGTAATAATCGAGAGACAAGTGGCGTTTATCGTAAAATCTCGTTTGCGATTTGTTTCCACCTCGGAAAATATTTTTGCAATACACAATATATTGTATTTTAATGCTATTTTGTGTATTTTTACAGCGTTGCAACAATTCGAACAGCATTGCATCCAATCAGAAATAGGCGTTAATCCTGTGGTTAGTATGCCGATTAGTTGGCATTTGGGAATAACTCAAAATTAGATTTATGATCCGTTGCTACTGCATTTTGTTCGTTTTATTCTTTTTCCCTTTTAATTAGTCATTGATTGTTTACGGATACAAAATTTACAGATGCACAACTGCATAAAAAGTATTACACACAATCGTTTCCTATCAGATATAAGTATAAGATAATAATCTTATTTTAATTTTATTATTTTACTAACGATATTAATTAATGGAATCATTTTCAATCTGAAAACTAAATTTAAGTTATAATTTTGAGAGACAACATATTTTTGAAGAAAAACGCTTAAGATATATTTAGTTCTGATTTATTAAAACCGATGAAATTGTTTGAATCAAATTTCACCATTTATACAACAAAAATAATTCACACATGATATATATGTATTTCGAGAATTATATAAAGTAATAGAATTTTTCTATTCGAAAATTGATTGTAAGTCACGATTCTGAAATAATATTTTTTCAAAAAAATGCCCAAGATATATTTAAATCTAGATTATTAAAGTTTATATTAATTGTAATAAAAGTTTGAAAGATAAAATTCTAATCTAAATATATATATATAATATAATAATTATATAATCTATATTATAATAAATAGCAAAAATATTCATGAGTATGACCATTTATACTAATGGACAGTTCAAAAAATTTATTTATATAATGCGATTGATATATATTTTGAAAGTATATTTATTAATGATTTAAATTGATTCAAAATAACAAAGTCAGATGTACAAATTTCGTGCAAGAGAATCTGTAACTTTTTTACTCGTTATTCTTATCCGATTGAAATCTTTATATTAAAAATAATACTATTTTATAATACTTAATTTTAAAGTTTTGAATATAAATTTGTTAAAAGTTTATTACACAGAACTTCGTTAGATATCTTTTTTAAAAGTGGCAATATAAAAAAGAGGAAAAATATTAATTTTAATGTATTTAAATAAAATATCGACTGTTCGGAATAATCTTTTTAGTTAGAACTTACATATAGCGTGTTATATTATCGAATTTGTAATTATAAGCGAATGTGTTGTGTTCGTTTTGAAAAATTTTCATATGTAATTTATATTACATATAGTTAATATAATAAAAACATATTTTTGTAAGATAATATAATCTTTTTCTTTTTTTTATACTTTCCTCTCTCACGGAAATTTTAAAGATGACCGAAGAAATGTTTTTCTTGTTCAGGTTTTATATTATAAATATTAAATATAGACGTATACGGTATAGTCATTCCTTTTTTTATTCCTCTATTTTAACTTATATGCAAGATATATCGAAAATCGGAAATATATTAATTAAAAGTTTTTCCACAATTATAGAGAAGGTGGTAATATAAATTGGCAAAAATTTCTCTCAAGATTTACTTTTATCTTAAAAGAGAAATTCCTGAGAAAATATAGACAGGATGCATTTACCGTTTCAACGGGAAGGGGTTCAACGCTCTTTCCATTGGCGGCAAAATCGTGGAGTAATCCTCAAGGATCCTTCGTACTGTTTCGTAATCGGTATTGCCAGTGGCGTTGGTCGACATTGGTCTCATGCAGCGTACTAATGTCCTTGCCTGCTCGTTGCATCCAACCTTGCTGCTTCTTTCCTGCGCGCTGAACGTCTCGTATGCGAAGATAAGCAGCTTTTCGACGACGCAGTCGAGCACTTTGTCACTGGGCAACTCGCCGCGGCCGCTCTCGACGCAATCCTTAATAACGACGTTCATCCAGTTCCAATCTTCCCATACGTCCGATGCGTCGACCTTCTGGTTCTCCAGTTGCCACGTCAAGCGAGCGCGATATCTAAAAGAATATGATACGTGTTACATTTACATGAACAGAAACCGTTTATATATTTCACTTAACATTTTTAATTTATTTAACTAAATATAGTTTAAAAGTATTTTTTTTATCGAAATAATTAAATTTTGCGAAATAATGAGTATTGCAAGCAAAAATTTTACAGTTTATATTTTATCTAAAATCAATAATACAAAGTAATATTAATAATGTAAAATTATATTGCTTTATATATACATTGATATTTCGCTTCAACAATAATAATAACTTACGGCCAGCTCAACGGATTCTTGCTGAATTTCACTCTCTTCAGATTACCCAGATAAGCGAACATATTGTAGTCGATATAACGAAGCTGGTTGTAGTCGAAGTAAAAGTTCTTCAAATTGGGAAGCATCTGAAAGATCATGTAATCGATTCCCTGGATAAAGTTGAACGACAAGTCCAGGGTCTGCAGGGAGTACATATTCACGAACCAATCTCCCGGCACCAATGTCAGTTTATTGCCCCAGAGCATTAGTTTTTCCAACTTTGTGAGGCCCACAAATGCTTGAGCGTCGCACGTTTGTATGCCCGATTCGTGCAAGTCTAAAGTCACAAGTTTCGCTCCGAATCTCGCGAAGCTGTGCCTTTGATAAGAAGAAATAAAATCGCGATTGCTCCAAAGATGCAAATTAATTAGTGTTAGCGCAAAGATACAAATAATACATCTTAATAAAAAATAAATATTTAAAATAAGCGATTTTTGTTTTTTTTTTAGTTTCGATATTCATGAATATTAAAAATTGAAAATGTAGAAATGTTGCGTTGTAATAGCGAAAAAAAAATCAGCCATAAATTTTGGTGGTGAGAAATATATATTAAAAGATATATAAAAATATTAAAAATATCCTGTGAAAGATATACGATAAAATAAAATGATATAAAAGTAAGGCTCTTACACGATTAAAATCAAGTAAAAAATAAAATGTTTTTTATCATATTTTTATAAACTATATATATATTATAAAAATCGATTTTTTTCTTCGATTTCTTTATTTCTTTTACTTACCCAGGTACATTGGGTATATTAGAATCGAATATGGTGATGATCGTCGTATTGGCCATCGCTTGATCCAAATAGTTTTGCAGCGTCGTTAACTGAGTGCATCGAAAACCGACATTATTTGTTTGCTTGTACGTAATTTTCACACACGGCGAGGCTTCCGCCGACAAACCCGCTTCAAAGAGCGTATGGAAAAGACAAATTAATAACAAACGCTTCATTGTTTGTCGCCTCGTCGTCAAACCAGCTCGCGACGAAATCGTTAAATTAACTGAGCGTCCTCGATAGAATGAGCCATGGACAGATATGTGGGTGGCATCATATCCTCATGGCTTCTTCCTTTGTCGATGATAAAGCAAATCAGCTTGTACAATTGAATAACCAGATATTTCTGGTTTATTTTTATTGGCATTAATTTTTTTTAAATTTGGGAATATTATATATTATTTCACACTATATACATATATATATATATATATATTTCACTTTTGCACGCCACTGTACATATATGTATATACACATATATTCTTCTCTTTTTTTTCTAAATAATTTAAATTTCAAGAAAGAAACACATTTGGAAAGGAAAGAATTAACTGAAAAATTAACCGAAAAAAAGCCTCTGCAGATTGATAGTAGAAACAACATTTATTGTCGTACATATATACACGAATGCCACAATTCTCGTTCAAGATAAATACAGCTGATTCCTAGAGAACGAATCTATTTCAGTCAGTTTCTAGAGACCAACAAATCCCCAACTTAGTCGGTTTTCAGTATGGACCCCTCTTTATATTTATTCTATCGATGTATATCTACGCTTATCGATTAACCGCGCGATAATTACACGAATAAATTAAAGAGAGAATAACTCTTCAAATTTTTCAATATAATGTCTATTATTAAAAAATATACGAAGTGGTGTTCTTTCGTCCAAACCGAACCACATGTATTACGTTAATATCACCTAAAGCGCGCGCGCCCGATGAAAATTTAATTTCAGCAAATACTATATTTTTTTAACTATATTCTGAATAATGATGGCAGTTATAAGTATGTGTTTTTAACAGCGTGATAATCTATTTTTTGTATATATATATATGTATATACACTGCCGGCCAAAAGTTTGGATACACTTGCCTATACACCTATAATTTGTATTTAATAGGATCCCCTTACTCCCCAGGAAACTTTTTTGTTATTAATCAATTAGTTTAGTCATAACTTATATTAAATATTTAAATCTTACCGATCTCTAATAAAAGAATTCACAGAAATATCACAAGAGTGGATATGATGCAAATATTTATTTCTGCGCTCACAAGAGTGATATGATATAAATATTTACTTCTGCGAAGATAAATTAGTAGAAAGAATGCCACGACTTCTAAAAATGGTCATCAAAACCAAAGGTGCATTTTTTGATGAAAAGAAAGTTTAACAGTTTTTTGTTAAAAGTGTGTTAGATTCAAGTTATTTTTGTTTTACATAAATTTCCTATAGTTATCGTATTAAAATAATTATTTACCTCTAATATAAATACGAATTACATCAATAAAAGTAAATTTTTTTATAATATCTAGCCTTTTAATGCTGTATCCAAACTTTTGGCCGGCAGTGTATATATATACGTAACTACATTTATTGTCATAAAAATGTTTTATTATTTACAATAAAACCAATGCTCTCAATGTATATCTCGCGTTTCTCTCACGTTCTCTCCTGTAATACATTCTGTAAATTTAACAAAAAGTGATTCCACTGTCAATTCAATGTAATTTTATCCTATATATCCTCTAGTGATCGTAATCATAATGAACAGTCGATTTCATTGTAACTTAATGATTTCGTTGTCGCAATAGATTTATTTTTTTATTTTAGTCGCAATTTAAAATTATCATAACGATCACAGCGAAGCCGATATGACATAATCGCGAATCGCGTGACGACCTAACGCTGTTATGAGCGTCCAGTTGCGTCGGTGCCGAATGCGCCGGTGCCAATGCCGGTGCTGGTGCCGGAAACACGGAATTTCTCGACTTGTTTGCGATATTCAACGAGAAGCTCGACGAGTTTCTCCTAGACATCGGCGTGGTATGGCCCACGTTCTTCGGGGTCAGGTCAGACTGGTACTTCTTCTTCTTCTCCGCCTGCTTCCGCCGGACGTGCTTCTCGATGACTTCGATACTGTGCGGGGATGTTATCGTTGGTTTGGGTATCTGCAGCTCTGCAATGTTCGATTTCGGAGAAACAGGAACAGTTATCGTTATAATTATCTGATAAATAAGAGATCGGACACGCGACGTGAACTATAAGGGCGACTTTATAAATAAAAAGATTGAAAATATGATGTACATTTTGGACATAAATCGATTCTTTCTATGAATTCTTCACATGTATCATATGTTCGATTCTGTAAAAATCATTAAATGAAAAAGTAAACGTATTTAATTACGGGAAAATTTCAGAAAATAACAAACTTATATACAGGATGAGTCTTTTTAATCTTAACAGGCAAATATCTCAAACCTGTAAGTTTTAGAAGGAAAATTTTTAGATAAAAGTTGTTTGGTTCTGAGGGGGAAAGGAGATAGGAATATTAGTTAGACCTTGGGTGGCATTGTTAAAATCATATCAAGGTCACATTAAATTTTTTAAATTGAAACCTCTATTTTTTATTGCACATTCTTATAGCCCTTGTTGAGACCTTTTCAAAACTCTATAATAAAGTATGTTTTCATTAAGTATTTTTTGAGTTATTTTATATCTTATTCTGACATATTTTGATATAAAAAGTAATCTTGATAAAACCTTAACAATGCCACCCAAGATCTAACTAATATTCCTATCTTCTTTCCCCCTCAGAAACAAACAACTTTTGTCTAAAAAGTTTCCTTCTAAAACTTACAGGTTTTGAGATATTTGCCTGTTAATATTAAAAAGACTCACCCTGTATATCTATGAATCTTTGTGTATGTGAGATATCAATTACTACTTACCTTGCAGTCTTATAGACGCTTCCGCTTTCCCAAAAGCATTTTCAGCGGAGCATGTATAAGTGCCGAAATCATATTGATCTAGTCGCTTGACAGTGAGATTTAGCAGATATGAATAATCGTTGGTGGTTATTTCTGATATGTTGTGTTTCTCGTCCTTCAATAATTTGGCTCCTAAAGTAGAGAGAAATGTTATCAAAAATAATTCTATTGGAAACATTTATCTGTACCTATTTTTAAAGAACTTACATAAACTATATATTACTGTCTCTTTTTATCTTTTGGATAATATTATTAATGACAAAATAATTATATTAAAACTGATATGTAGCTATTCTCGCAAAAAAATTACGAAACTAAACATTTTTATCCACACAATTTCTTTCTTAAATCGCATTATATAAATATTGATGATTCTTCAATCCCGGCGTGCGATATATATATAGTAAAAATTGATGTACATACTCTGACTCTTTTAGAAACGAATAGGTAAATTGCTCGTGTATAAAAAAAAAGCCGGTGTGTCTCTCACCATTATTTCTGTACCACGTATTCAGAGCCTTCGGCGAGGACTCCACGTAACACTGAAGAAGGACATCGCTGTCGACAGGCGCCGCCACTAACTGGTTTGCGACTTTAATCAGCGGTTTGACTTTAACGAGAAAGATGCAATTAGTCGTGCAACTCGGTCAAACGGCAGGAAGTTGCTGCCTTGTAATGCGCGTATGCACTTACAACGGACATTGACGTAATATCTCTTGCTGACCGACGGTGGCACTCCGTTTGACGCGATACACAGATAAGATCCCATCTCGTGCCGTTGAATGCTCCTCAAATGAAGCTGCTCGCCTTCGTATGTTAGCGCTGTTTTAACATTTTCGGTGTGATAAAAAAGATAAGAGGGCCGAATATTCAGATATCTTTTGCTTCCTCATAGAGAAAACTTTGTTTTCGTGACAAAATTCTTTTTCTAATTTTCTATGCCAATGTGTTTAGAATGTTCCAAAACGTCGAAAAATGATATTAAAAAAAAATGTCTATATGTATGTATGTATGTATGTATGTATGTATATATGTATCTACGGAATGTACATTGTACAACCCTTGAGATATCGGGCTAAATTAAAAAAAATGTCTATATGTATGTATGTATGTATGTATGTATGTATGTATATATGTATCTACGGAATGTACATTGTACAACCCTTGAGATATCGGGCTAAATTTTTTAAAATGAATAGAATATCATTAAAGGATGGTTGGTATTGAATTTGGTGAGGATCGGTGAAAAGGTTCATTTTTATAAAATTTTGAATTTTTTGAGAAAAGTCTGTAGACGCTCTAACTATCGCAAATTTAGAGATATCGGGTTAAATTTTTTTACATGAATAGAGTATTATTAAAGGATGGTTGGTATTGAATTTTGTGAGAATCGGTGAAAAGATTCATTATTTATAAAATTTTGACTTTTTTGTGAAATGTCTGTACACGCTGTGACTTTCGCAAATTTTGAGATATTTTTCTCTATGAGAAAGCCAAAATTGAAAAACCCGCTTGCTTTAGAGCTTAAATTTTGTGAGCGAAATAAAATGATGAGGAAGCAATGTGCAAGTTTCTAATTTGCATAATTTTTATCTTGTTTTTAGATGTTCTCAATTTTCGACATAATAGTCTTGTTTAAAAAATGTGAACAATTAATTCTCAGATTTTGCCTCTTTCGCGCAGAGAATGTATATGTACGCAGCGTCTTATCTGCATGGTTTTTTTTTAATCAACTCAAGAAAATTGTAATAAATAGTAAATAATAATTAATTATTTTCTCTCTTGTGATATTTTCCCATAAGAACTTTTATGTCAGATTTAAATAATAAATTCGCCTTTAGAAAATTGTATACAACAGTTGTGCGAATCCCTATATTGTGTGTGGATCGTTGTATTTCTTCGCACATGTGTGTAAAAAAAAGGCTTATACAATTTTTTAAAATATTCGTGAAAAAATATACAGCGTCAGGCATCTAAAACAGGCCATTTGAATAATTCGGCTGTTTTCTTCTTCTCTCGACGGCATCTCCTCCACACACTTCTACTTACAAAAAACTATTAACATCAGATTATGTCCCCCCTTGAAACCAAGCAAAATTGGTCTGATGCATTTTCGCTCGGATGCAAAAGCAGCCGAGTTATTCAGGTGGCCTGTTTTAGATGCCTCATCCTGTATAATTTAAAATCGCCTTGTTTTCGTGTAAAGACATTAAAAACTTTCGCAACAATGTTAAATCACGTAAAAGTGTCTGTGTATGTCTGTATGGAAAAGACGGCGGAACCACTGACGGGATGGAGATACCGCGGCAGTAACGATCTCGCGACGCAGTGTACACATTGAATATTGCAATCGGGTACACGGAGTCGATACGGGCTTGGGCGGCGAAGAGGAAATATATGTAAAGTCAACATCCATCACTCACAGTCAGGAAGGCTAATCGGATGACTGCTTTTCCGCGGCGAATCCAACAGGATCGGTCCCGCGTCGTATACGGGAACTTTTTTAAAAGTGATCCCCGCGTTTGTGAAATATTTCATCCTCAAAATCGAGTACGCGCGTGCCACATACGGATCAATTAAAAATAAATCATTTCAACGGAGATTCCATTTACGACCAATCGCGTTCCTTTTTAGAGTCAGCTTCATAATCAGTCATATCGGCGGAAATTTCATTTATTTTTTAGGGAGTGACGCATTTCACGTTAAAACGGCGCATCACGGAGTGGAATATATGATGGAATTTTAATTCACCATTTTAAGACCGCCACCAGGCGGTTATCTCTCTTTTATGCAACAATATAAGCATTATCTGGTAATTAACACTTAATCAAATTGGAACTCTATTATCATTCGCAAATCCTATCTCTCAGCCCGATAATAATCGCGTTAAAAAAAAGCGTGTTTCCTTTCAGCGTTAATTATTTCACATTTCACATACACATATACCGTAAAACACATCATGATCTTTTTAAATCTTTATGTTAATTGGAATAGAAAAATGTTCTTATATATTATACTTGATATAATCTCTTCTTTCCCCTCTTACTTAATATTTTATACTCTTTATTTTATGCTTCGTTGAGTTTTTCCACGCGTATTCGCCAGTATGTTCAAAGGCTATATAATAACGTACTTCGTCTAATTCCTTGATGCTCGTTCCTCAGGGTAATGTTCCGACCGTCCTCCCGCCGCCAGAACACTATAGGTTTAGGGTCGCCGGTCGTTCGACATCGCAGTTGCAGATCGCCGTTCTCCTTGGCGGTCAGGGAATCCGCCGAGTCCAGATCCATGATATCGGGCGGTATCACTACGTTCATGTAACCGGTCTGCTCGCAAGATTCGTATTCATTACTGAACGAAAAAGTATCGATTTTGCAGGACAAAAAAACAAATTCTTTAAATAAAAAAAAAAAATTAAAAAATAACTCCGTTCCACCTGTGCGTTACGTAATAAAATTGCTTATTTCGTCCGTAATGGAATGGATCATATCGTTATAAATTTTGAAGCAATATTTTAAAAATTCCGTACGCAATTTTAAAAAAATGTGACTAATATCTTGACTATTAATTATTCCGTATGTTAATTATTTAATATTTGACACGATAAATATATATTTGCCATCAATTTATTATAGTTGGGCAAATTGCAATGTTCTATAAATATTTTGTAGAAACCATTCTTTATAAACGGTTTCCCGTACTCGCATCCGAATATAAAAATATCCTCATATCGCTAGCAATACTTGAAAAATATATATTTAATTTAGCTCGTAATGTGTGTGTGTGTGTGTGTGTGTGTGTGTGTGTGTGTGTGTGTGTGTGTGTGTGTGTGTGTGTGTGTGTGTGTGTGTGTGTGTGTGTGTGTGTGTGTGTGTGTGTGTGTGTGTGTGTGTGTGTGTGTGTGTGTGTGTGTGTGTGTGTGTGTGTGTGTGTGTGTGTGTGTGTGTGTGTGTGTGTGTGTGTGTGTGTGTGTCGAATCCGACTTTATCCAGGCGACCTGTGCGTTACGTAATAAAATTGCTTATTTCGTCCGTAATGGAGTGGATCATATCGTTATAAATTTTGAAGCAATATTTTTAAAATTCCGTACGCAATTTTTAAAAAAATGTGACTAATATCTTGACTATTAATTATTCCGTATGTTAATTATTTAATATTTGACACGATAAATATATATTTGCCATCAATTTATTATAGTTGGGCAAATTGCAATGTTCTATAAATATTTTGTAGAAACCATTCTTTATAAACGGTTTCCCGTACTCGCATCCGAATATAAAAATATCCTCATATCGCTAGCAATACTTGAAAAATATATATTTAATTTAGCTCGTAATGTGTGTGTGTGTGTGTGTGTGTGTGTGTGTGTGTGTGTGTCAAATAATATTTCCCTTTGATATTTACGCATCGAACTGAGTAAATATACATACATGCGTAACAGATTAATAAAAAAATCGATAAAATAATTTTTCATAAAATTCGTGTTGTGCCGACGATGATTATATACAATTCGAGATGAGAATTTCACACATAATTACTATGTAAATATATAAATATTAAATAACTGATTTGATTACAGAGTAAATTCCAAGACGTGTTTTATATATGTACTTATATCAAATAGTTATTTTTCCAGCTTTATATAATCCATAACTCTTTTCCACGCAACACCATAGTAATACATTCATGTGTGAAAGCAACAAAAGGATGCCATAAAGATAAATAACGCGCGGAAACGTGTGTGTAGGAGAGATTTTTGCTCTTTCTCGCGCAGATAGGTGCATTTTACGGAAGAGAGCGCGAGCGCGGGGAAAAGATCAGGCCACTTTGCGTACGAGAAGAGCGGGGACCCTTCATTAGTACCGGATGCGGTACTTAAAAAGCATCGCGATGCTCGCGAAAGGCGCTTATCGGTATTCATACCGGTCGGTGGCGCGACGTTGGGGCTTTGCGCTCTCAAATTCCGCTCGAGTTTACATCGTCACCCTTCCTAGGCTCCTCCTCCCCCTCGCGCTAGGTCGACAGCTCGATCTGTCATATTTCAGACGACGGTGGTGAAGCCATGGAGCGAATGAAAGGGCCTTTAAACCGCGAACAAAAGCTCTCACGTTGCCGAGTTTCGATCGGCAAGAGAATTTAAGATGCGCATAAATGCGCGTGAAAGGATATCGCGATCTACCTGTTGGAAATATCATACATACACGCTTTTGTCGCGTCTGGATCTCCTTTCCTCGGAGAGATGATCCTTCGTGGACCAAGAGTAATTGGCAGGTGTCCTTATAGACATTCGATATGGGATCCTGACTCGCGCGATTACAGATCTATAATAGTATTACACATCTCGAGGTATTGCATTTGATGTTAGATGGCTATATTAATTTAGTAGTATATCGATGTACGTATATATATAAATATATATATGTATGTATGTGTGTATATGTTGCGGGATTTCGCGCATTTCTCTCTCAATTAGATCTGCATTTGCGCGTATCTCCCAAAAGAGATTCGTTATCTATTTTTAATTCTATATTTAAAAAAGAAAGAAAATATATATTTCTCGATTAATTTGAAACGAATTTTACTGACGTAACTCCATTCGCATCTAATTGCAAGCCTTGAATTCCCATGGAGAGACATCGGAAGCTTTAGATACAGCTGCACTAGTTCACTACATAGAACTGTAAAGGGTTAAATTTCTGAGATTAGATGTTACGGGATATATACGAGACACGGTTACGTGTAACGCGACGACAGACGGCTGCCAAATTAAACATATACAGATGTACGGCAAGTACATACGCGCATTTTTGTTTACGCGGCAAATTTTGTTTTATTTATAAGCGATCAAATCGCGTAAACATATCTTCCCGATGTGCAAGATAAAATATCCATGTATCGCATAAAAATAAAATCACGCTAGAAGAATGTATATTGATTAAACAAAATAGAGAGTATGCAAAATATAATATTTTGCGTATACGTGAGGCTTCTCTCTGCGCCAACAATATATCTAAACGAGATGGGAAATGAAACAAGATAAATGGTAAACGAGTTATCAGAATCATTTATCGAAAATTTAAACGAAATTGATATTAAAGCTTCCGAAATTCTGCGCGGAAATACAGACAAATACAATCGTAAATGTCGTATAAAATATATATATATATATATAATTACATGCCGCAAATTCACCTTTTCGTTCTCCATTTTTAATGATTTCTCTTATGCACAAATGGACTTATCTGAACAATGTCTGACGCTAAATTGACATAAGACAATGTCATCTATTCGGTGTAAGCAACAATTACCACACGAAAACAATAGAACTCCGCCATGCAGTAACTTAATGCCATCTATGAAAATCGGGCACGAACTTATGCAATCATCCAATACATCATACTTAAATCATATAGTTTCTTGTACGAATAATTCACTGTTAATTATAATATTTCAAATATTATGTTATCACTTATCAAAAAAGGAGAATCATTTTTCTTATTCTTATATTATGTATGATGTAATGTTTTATAGAGTCACGAACTTGAATTCGACATTGATAATTTATCTTTTTCCGCGATTTTCGTCTCGCGTGTGACAGTTGTCAGGTCTGGATTTTTACATATAAATTAAACAAGCTACAATTTAAAGAATCTCATATACATAATAATTCATTGTTAATCATAATATTTCAAGTGTTATGTTATCACTTATCAAAGAAAGAGAAACATTTTTCTTATTCTTTTTATTATGTGCGATGTAATATTTTATAGAGTCGCGAATTTGAATTCGACATTAATAATTGCGTACACAAGAAAAATATATTTTTTGTATTGATTTTCCACCTAATCGTCATCTTGCTGAAATGCGTAAGGTGCATATAAACGATGTCGCAAAGTCAGCGCGATGGCGCATTTGCGCGGGCAGCATGAGGAGGAGCTCGGTGGCAAAAATCAGGGTTATTCACCAACTATATATTAGCGGATCTGATTTATGTTCTTTCTTTCATCGTTTCTTTTCTTTCCGAAGAGAAAGAGAGAGAGAGAGAGGTAAACTTTCTTCGAGACACAGCCGCGAGCGACAAGACGGGCACATCTCTCCTCTTCCTCTCCTTTTTCTAACCCTCGCAAGCACAGCGTTAGAAACGCGATAGAAATGATTGTCGCTATCCGAGCGTGCAATCAAACTTAGACTTCTTCTTGAAAGTGAATTACTCGCCGAGTCTGATACCAGAAGGGATTCCTTGGACCCTGGTATATACAACACTTCCTTCACACGCGAACGCACACGTAAGTGACTGTAGATACACAGAGATCGTTTCCGTATTAAATCATGATCAATATAGAATCGGTAGAATCGTGTCGAAAAACATGCAAACTGCTGACTCGCGACTAAATTAGATAACATCCGATAAAACAAAGATATAAATGTTGAAAAACACGCGAAATTGTAAGGATCATTTATCATAATGATAACTTCTTCATTTAATTTCTACGTGATTTTCTTTCGATAAAAATTCGAAGGGGTAGTTCTCGAGTAATCAACGATTGAAAATAAAGAGCTCTCTTCGCAAACTAAGCTTTGCGAAAGAGCAAATAGACAAGAAATCTGGAATCTATAACTAATTTCAAATGGACTTTATTTTACTAGAATATTAATCTGAGAGATTTAATTGCGAAGAGATATTTAAAGTTAAAAATTGGAAGTTAGTGACGAATGATGATGTTAAGAAAAAATAGAATTCAGATTCACCGAAGATTTATTATTATTTGAATCAATTTTATTCTCGTTTCTATTTAATTTCATATTGCTTAAATTTGAGGAGATTCACGCGTATACGGCAAAATTTTCATCGAATATCAAAGTCAACGTTCAATTTTTATGTATTTATAGTCATTGCAATGTAAGCATATTGCGGATGGAAGAAACTGTACAGCGAGACCGATCGGAATAGCTGGTTTAGTCGATATATGTGAGCGATGTCTCGACGATACGATTCTCTTGTCTTCTTGTCTTTGGAAAATACATTGAATATTCGATGGTTCCGCTTGATTTGCATTGTTTCGCTATTCAGATCCAAGGAAAACATCTTGACGTTTGTAACGTCGCTCGCGGCTTCTCTCTTAGGAGTTGAACTTGTGACATTTTTAGAACTTATCTCTATATATGCGAATCGACCTTTCATATCGTAACGCTAATACTAAGAACAATATAAGAGAGCTAGTATAATATGACAACGTCCAATAAAAATGATGGATAAAATAGTCTCCGTGTGAATTAAACTAAAAACTTTACATTTTTTAAATTGTCAACTATAATATAAATTTTGTTTAAGAATCTCGAAAAATGTAATTAATTTGTAAAAGAGCTTAATGATTTTAATAAAATAATAATTTTAATTAAAATATGTTAAATAATGTTTTGACCCGATTGGTTTATCTCTCTCTCTCTCTCTCTCTAGTTTTGTCTCTCTCGTTGTTTTATTATTAAAAAATATTTCTTATGCTATCGCACATTGCTATATTTTCTTGCCGCACAATTGACGTTCGCTTATTTAAAGTACTTGGCAGCGTGTCGCTGCGGAATCGACTTAACGGAAATATTAATTCTCGCGTTTAATACTTGATAATAAAATAATACGATTCGACGTGCTATTAGTTCAAATTTCCCATGATATAATTCATCCGGTATATTTTGCTAAAATACTTAATATTTAAGCCACATTACTATTTCGAGCGATGGCCCTAATCGAGTAGCCAATTACACGCGCGCGAACTGCACGAGTACATTTACCTTGTAAGACTGAAGATGATTAACGACGCAGGTGAAGAAGACGTCGCGACCTTGAACAACCGTGTGATTTTCCAAACGTGCCAGAAATTCGGGCAGGACCTCGGATTTGGGCGGCGTTTGACCTGAATTATGCAATTAACGATTATATGTGCTAACGATTATAGCTAACGATCCATAAAGTTAATCCTTAATTAGAACCCTCAGCCACCAACTTGCCGCCGATACGAATATGATGTATGAACGGCGCATTAGAGGAAATTTGGGGAATGGGTGCCGAATGCCCGTCATCTTTTTGTGCCGCGTGCGCGCGCGCAAAATTTAATCTAGATCGCTGCGTTATTTATGTACGTAACGAGCGACAGGTCAACCACATCTCACCACATCTCACCGCGCGATAATCATAATTCTTTCTGTGCAAGCATATTTGATATATCGCTAGTGTCCGCCATGGTACACGAGATAATTCAAAAAATTTTAATTTTTAATAAAAATTAGTTTTGAAAACATGCAACAATTTTATTTGCTTCTAATACAATAGATACAAATTAGTTTATATTGTATATTCCTCTCTTAATTCGTTATTGCATATAAACATACTTGTATATAGAACGAGGCGCGTAAAGCGCGTTTTAATTAAATATGAATCAATGTGTTAGGTAAGAAATATTGTTAATTGTTAAATTTTTAAAAATATTGATAAAAAAAAGTTTCGAAAAAGTTTCATTAGGCAAAATTGAAGCGTTTTGGAAAATTTTCGCATGTTTCGAGTACATTAATTTTTTTCTTTATATAAAAATGCCAAGGAATTTTTGAGATCAACAATTTTTTTTTTAATAGAATTATATATTTTTTAAATATGCACATAGAATTGCAGTCCACACTTAACAATGTCTGCGACCAGAATCATTCAATGTTAATCAAAATTACATTCAGAAAACAAGGAGTTATTCTATTGATTTCGAAATCTTGCTTCCTGGCGGTTTCATAAAAAAATAGATACATTTAAAAAATATGTACGTATAATATGTATGCCTTAAAAGAATTTTGTCCAATAAAAATTTCCCATATATTATCAATATCATAGAAAATATTCACTCGTCACGCTTTATGCGTCTGTATTTTATATATATATATCTAATTGTCATAAGTTCGATCATTTCTTTGCATTCGATGCATTCTCTTTTGCGTTTCGTGTTCCTCCAATTTTATTATTATATTCGAAGTTTCCTAAAGTGATTATTCGTATATTATATTTTACCCAACACGTAAAAGTGAGTATGTTGTAAAATAAGTCGTTTATCGACTGCGTCGAACCCTTAAGGATCTTCTGATCGCCGATGTTACATCGAATGATATTCATTCCTCGCGTGGTAAGATATGACATTACGTTTCACGCAGAAATCGCGCATTGATCATCCTCGCGATAACAGGATAGAATCTAATGGGCAAAAAAGGAAATGTATTCTTCCTATATCCTTCCCGGTTAACTTCTCGAAGCGAGCACGCGAATATGAAGGAAAGGGGAGAAAGTTTCGCGAGAAACGGGATGTTTATTAATCACGCGGAACACGGCCGAGGGAAAGTTCGCTGACTTGTGGAGTAATCATCATCTATCATGATCTATCGCGTGGAAAAGCTACCGCGAAGATCGGATAGCATTTTTGTTAGTCCGTACATGCGAGTCGTCGAGTGCTCGACGATCCATGCATCGCGATTCATGTCTCTTCTATGTATTGAGAAATCAACTTGACATGATTATGGAATGAAAAGAAGACTTTATTGAAAAGATTCAATAATAAGGAGATCCCTAAAATTTACGTAAATTGTATTTACATATTTCTCCCGTGTCCTTTTATAAAAATCCAATATTTCCTAAATAACTTTTATTGTAAAAGAGAACAACAGTCTTTAATTTTCTCACATTCAATTCGATTGATTAATTCATTTTTAGCACACATTTTAGATTTTTCTTCCAGCTGGGTATTAAATATTATTTCCCGTAAAAAAAAAAATTTCATAATTTTGCATATCTAATTACGCGATAAATCAATATCAGTAATAAATAAATAAATTTAACAGGGGACGCGGAACATTTCTCTCGAAGCTGAAGGAAAGTCGGCGGCTTGTACCACTTTGCAATTCCTGCTTCCTTTTAAACAAGGATCCCTTTTAAGCTTTCGCGGAAACGCGAGGCTACCGATAGCGGCGATGTCTCCGGAAAAGATTCCATTTGATTCTTTCCGAAACTGGAGCAAAGAAAGGCGGCGCGAAAGTAACAGGCACGATACTGTCGTGGCGATCGGGGGCGGGGGAAAAAGGAGGAATTCTGTGATTCTCCGTGCGGATTAAAAACTCGTAACTTTTGCTTCTCCTCTCCCGTAACTCCCGACCGATCCTCTTTTTTCTTCCTATTTTTTAAAGGATCTACATCGCGAAGATACTTACCTCCTTGAAAGCGATATATTCAAGTCTTACCGAGACTGACGTGGAGAAAAGCGGCGATAAAGACGCACAGTGCGACGTTCTGCGATGCCATGCCATAGGGTAAGCCATACGCCATACGTACTGCAATGAGAATCGTGAAATACGTTGAAATAAAAAAAGCATCTTTTTTCCGAAACAATACATATTAGAAGTTCTAGCTTGTTAACTAATAAATGAAACAAAATTATTAAATATTATATATCTATATTATTTCTTGAGTGATAAAATTATTAGCGTTCTAAATTTGTGAATACATGTATTCTTTGCAGCAATTTTTTTGTTTATAATTCTTATATACAGAGTGTCCCCAATTTAAATGTCAAAACTTTAGGCGCGTGTAGGGGACCGATAAACTAAGACAAAAAGTCCTTTAGAGATTTGCTCGTTTTTGCTTCGTTTTGAAGAAAATCGCAAAAAATGAAACAAATAATTTTTACCAAAAAACTTAAAACAACACTAAAATAATTAGATTTATCAAGAAGTATTATAAAATAAAAATTGTAGAACATGGAATTAAGAAAAGAGAGTGAGTTAAAATCCTCCTGAGGTAAAATTAGAGGATTGTAGATAAATACGCGACAACGCGAAATTTTGTTTCTAATCTAATTTGTTGTATATATGTATATATATACACGATATATATACGATACGAAAAGTGTCTTCATTTTTTACTCTACATGTTTTAGGAATACTATATATATAAAATTATACACATGTATACATAAATCTCCTGAGGTAAAATTAGAGGATTGTAGATAAATACGCGACAACGCGAAATTTTATTTCTAATCTAATAGGCTCTTCTGCATTCCATCTCGGAACTCTTGTGGGTCTTTTGTAAATTTGTAAAACTCATATATTGTAAATTTCGATAACAGTTTCCGAATTAAGAAACTCACGATAGCTCCTTTCGTTATAAATTTGGGTATTATCTTTTTTTTATCTATTATTTATTATTTTCTCTCTTTAATCATTCACGTTTTATTCTTTTCTATACTTATAAATCATCGTCCATGTAAGAGAGATGTAAAAGAGATTGTACGACTGTGTGAAAAAGGCCACGTTCATACAATGATCTCGAAATGGTCTGAAAAATTAATTGTTTTAATGAGAGGAGTGTATGCGCAGCGACATCGACATTTTAGTTTGTATTGATCTTATTTGGATTTACATTGATAATTTATTTATCATGGTTAGACTTTTCTCCTATATATAAACTTTAGCTTTCAAAATTTTTTAAACTTCAAATTTGTATAAAGAATCATATAATTAAAATTTTTATCATAATATATAAAATCTCACAAGCGGAAGATAAATCCAATATAGAGAAGACTACCGCGATGAGGTGGCGAGGGGCGAGAGAAAAGGGAGATTGGGGTGTCGGAATCGAGAAATTCGCGACGTCGTCGACGCGTGCTTCGGAACACGAGGCTGGAAGAGAGGAAAAGAGGAGGAAGGGGAGATTCAGCTCCGAATCGCGTGAATATTAACTCGACAGTTGGTCGCCACATAAACGCCAACCCCGCTGATATATCCCCCGTTTGCCCATCGCCATCCTCTTCCCGCCGACCGGCCAGCGCCGCAATAATACTCTCGGACGGCTGTAGGTACACCCCCTCCGTCCTTTCCGCACCCTCTTGCGATACGCACACGTCGTGTCTCGGAGGACACACGTGCGCGTACGTATGTACATAGATGGATATGTTACGTACATAACGACCGTCCACATTCCAATGGTCAAATGGAAATTTCGCTCGCCCTTTATGACCTCCCTCGGCCTTCACCTTCTGGTCCATCAAAAATTCTGCCGTCATATATGCGTGTTTGAGTTAAACGACAAGTTAATAAAAGCAACCTCTCCTTCTTTCTCTCTCTCTCTCTCTCTTTCTCTCTCTCTCTCTTTGCCTCTTTGTATGAAGACCGGTTTAATATCCGTTGGCATTATCGCACATTGAAACATCGAATTCTGTAAGAATTGGCGGGACGAATGACGTATACGCGTGAGTATGTGGTTATAAATGTGAAGATAGAATCGCGTATAACGCCTCTAGGAGAACCGGTAGGCGGTTTCGGGTAAGGACATCAAAAGCCTCTTTGATTTCGAGCGCTTAACTTTTCTCGCAAGCATATTTCCTTCCGATAGGTAATCAAGCATACCCGTCCGTGTCTGGTGGTTTGAAAATTGTAGGAAAGAATTTAGATGTGTGTAATTTACTTGAAAGCACGTGTTCAACAGCAGACGGTATATGTAAGTGAAGCGAGGGGGGGATTTAAGGCGGGAGGAGGCACGAACCAAGCATCCATCTCTTCCGTGGCAGCGGCACTGTCGTGTCTGTGTAGGGCGTTTACACACTTCCTCAGCCCGACAAATAATTGTTAGAAAACAACATTTGCGGGTCTGAAAAAATATGCGAGGTACAAGTAACTGAATCGGGAATCGAACCCGAGTCTTTCGCTTTCCGGGCAACTGCTCTTACCACTGAGCTATTCAGACCTCGCACCTTACGCCACTCTAACACAGTACATACGACTCCAGAGCGATGTTGGAATCTCGCTCAATGGATGCAGTGCCGATTGTCACGGAGAGACGAAATCCCCAGCACGTCTCCAGAGCGGTCCAAATCATAACGATTGAAAATTGGCGCCCGTAGCCGCTCAGCGATGAGTCTTGACTCACCACCAGTATGAATGGAAGCCTCCTCGAGTAGTCCATCCTAAACCACTACGCCTAAGCAGCCCCCTCTTCTGCTCCCAATTAATAATACGATCTTCCACCGTCACCACGTGGTGGATCTAGTGGACAGATTACCAGCACTTACGCTGGCACAGATGTACACCGCAGAGCGAGGGGGGGATTTAAGGCGGGAGGAGGCAATTAATACAACATAATTAAAGTCTGATCATTCGCGACATATAATTAATTGAACATTATGGACACACACACATTAATATACTATATTTATCATATATGTATTTGTATTTTATCGAAGAAACGATCTTAAGAATTTAGATGTGTGTAATTTACTTGAAAGCACGTGTTCAACAGCAGACGGTATATGTATGTGCGTAATACAACATAATTAAAGTCTAATCATTCGCGACATATAATTAATTGAACATTATGGACACACACACATTAATATACTATATTTATCATATATGTATTTGTATTTTATCGAAGAAACGATCTTATCAGATATAAAAATCTTTCTGTATAGGTGTATTATTAATAATGATAATAAGAAATGCTAACTTTGAAAATAGTTTTTTTGCAATATAATTGCAAGAACGACTGTTTGCTATTGATTTATCAATTATCAGATCTAGAGTAGATTGCAGAATTAATAGAATTCTGCACATTTTATATTTTTGATTCTCAGTTATTTATATGTGAGTATTTTATGGTAAGATAAAAAAAGTCAACTAAACATAAATCATCGCTAATATTGAAATAAATAATCCAACTGCACTTCTCGAAATAAGCTTGGTATTATTTCGATTGGTGTCGACAGTATGAAAAAAGTTGAAAATTAGAAAATGTGAATTAGTAAATAAAAAAGGTCAATTGGAGCCCAGACGCAGTAATTGTAGCGTAAGCAAGAATATTATATTGAAACAAAAAATATTTCGGGCTCTTTTCAATGAGATCGAGATGGACTTATAAATAAATGGCAAACATTTTAAATAAACGGGGCTTCGTGAGGCGAAACAATACAACGAGTAAATTAGCGAGCGCAAATATGTCAATCAGTGTCTCAAAATGCATCCGATGTAAATATGAATGAAGTCGATAATATAAAAGATTATAATATAATAACGGTTGCATTCGTCTGACTTATTATCGCAAATCATGAACTCACCTTCTCAGCGGTATGACCCCTTATTATAAAACGAAAATTGTCGGTTAAAAGACATATCGAACGGTGAAGATACGCTGACGGATTACAGGAGGCGCGATGAATACTTAACCATCGAGAACGGAGGACGCGAATACGGAGCGGGAAAAATTTTACGAATCATGAACGGATGATGTGCGCACGTGAAATTTTTCTTAGGTAAAATAAATAAAAATTTTATCTAATAATAAGATTATATACATATATAGAAATATAAGAAATATTTAGATACTACATAATATTATTATTCATTGTGTAATTATAATTATATGTAGAAAATTGTAGAATCGATTAAATTTCAAATTCTTCAATCTTATTTCTGGAAAGTTTTACATTAGCGATATTGACGATAGTAAAATTTCTTCTGTTGAAGAAAGAATTCGCAGACCCCAACGGAGGGTAACTTTCGGCTTCTCGTCTTTCGCTTTCTCGTCTTTAGTTAGTATTTCCCATTTTCACATTTCTTTCTCTCTCTCTCTCTCTGTCTCCCTATTTCTCTCTCTCTCTCTCTTTCTCTTTCTTTCTCATCCATTTTAGTACTCTCGATTCTTAGAAGCACGCGAAAAGAAATAAAAGCCGCCACGGCGGCATCACCTCGTTCGTTTCATCAGATTCGCCAGAGCTATTACTTACACGTTTCCATAGCGGTACCTTTTATTTGGGCTTCTACTTCTTTTTTCTTTTACGCGCGTTTCGCTTTTCTCGATACAATCCTCACGTGCACTTAACGAACACAATTCTCCTCTCGTCGGCGCGCCTCCGTGCTCTTTTGCATACGGCTAATCTGCTCACCGGATTTGCCGGCGAACCGTTTCTTTACGTGCTCCGGCCCAAAAAGAAGTAAATATTCAGAGTTCTTCGTTACAGGGAGATCGCCGAGAGATCTTCTCTGCCCGCAAGGATTTATTCCTCTCTTAATATCCGTGCTAGCAATCAAGAATATCGCTTTAGTTTGCGCGTAAGGTTAATATCTTCGCTTCTAAAGGCATCTGTTTTATAAATATTATTAGACTACAATCAAAAACCTCATATTTCTTGTTTTTTTTTCAGTAAAATCGTAATTATATTACCATCCTTTACCTGCAATTTACATTTTTTTGAATGCCCAGTTGTAAAAATAAACAAAAAGTGAAATAAAAAAGAAGTATAGAAAGTAATTTCTTTTAAGAAGACAAATCAGAAAAA